GCTTCACCAGAGAGTCCTTCTCTGCCATGACAATGCTCCTGCTCATTCCTCTCATCAAACAAGGGCAATTTCATAAGAGTTTCAATGAGAAATCATTAGGCATTCATCTTATAGTCCTGATTTGGCTCCTTCAGACTTCTTTTTGTTTTCTACTTTAAAGCTACCTTTTAGGGCACCCATTTTTTTTCAGTCAATAATGTAAAAAAGACAGTATTGACATGGTTAAATTTTCAGGATCCTGTCTTTTAGGTATGGACTAAATGGCTGGTACCATTACTTACTAAAGTGTCTTGAACTTGATGGTGCTTACATTGAGAAATAAAGTTTATATTTTTAATTTTTATCTTTTAATTCCATTTTCCAAGAACTATTGGAAGTCCCCTCTTAATTCTCATACGCTCCTACACAAAACATTCTATATATATTATGCATCTTTATACAGTATATATTTATATATTCACATACACATATTATTCTTCATCTTGATTTTTCACTTAATATCTTACAGATATTCCCACCTGCAAATAAGGACATTTTCCTCTTTATTACAGCTGCATAGGATTTCACTATGTGAATGTACAGTTTATTAAACCAGTCCTCTATTGATAGACATTTGTGTTGTTTTCTATTTTTTACTATTGGAGACAATGCCAAATATTTTCAAGTACATGTGCAACTGTATCTGTGAGACAGACTCTCAGAAATGGGATATCTGGCTCAAAAGGCAAATGTATCTATAGTTTTGGTAGATATTGCCAAATTCCTCACCATATAAGTTGTTCTATTTTGCACCCACACAACAACATATGAAAATGTCTGTTTGTTCTCAGCCTCACTAACAATGGGTTTTAAACTTTTCAATTTCTTACTAACCTGATAGGTAGGAAATTGATTTTAAGCATGGTTTTGAGGTAGGAAGTCAATTTTAAGCATGGTTTTGATTTGCATTTCTCACGTTATGAGAAAAGTTGAATACCTTTCCATACATTTAAGGGCCATTTGTATTTATCTCTGAACATTCTCTTCACATTCTTGATGCTTTTTCTTCTTGATTTTTTTTTCCTTTTTGTCTTTTTTTACTGACCGGTAACAGGATCGCAACCCTCAGTGTCGTGCCCGCACCGCGCTCGGCCAGTGAGCGGGAACTGGTCTCCACATGGGATCCGAACCCTCGACGGGAGCGCCACCACGCTCCCAAGCGGCGCACTCTCCAGTGCGCCACCGGGCCAGCCCCTCCCCTTGATTTCTAAGAGCTCTTTATAAATGGGGAAATGAATTCCTTCGTCTCTGATATGAATTGCAAATATTTTCACCAGTTACCTAGTTTGTAGTATTTCTCAGGGAACTGGTGAAGGGGAAAGCCACCCTCTTTCCTAAAGCCTTCCCTTAAAGTTTTTCTTTCCCACCCAATATTTTATTCATGCATTCATTAATTCACTCATTCAGAGATTCAACAGAATATGGGTGAAGACAGTGATTGGAAAAAATAAAACCACTGAGTTGACACTCTACAATAAACCAGTTACACTTACTTTTGCTTCATAATATTCTGGATAGTATTTCATAATATTTTCACAATGGACATATATCATTTTGCAATTAAAAGAACAAATACTATTGTCAAAAGGGATTGGGAAGCATTAGAGGCTGTTTGCAAAATCCTGAAAAGCATAAAACAGAAAATAAAAATCACCCATTGATACTATTAATATATTGGTGTATTTCTTTCCAGATTTTTCCTCTTTATATGTGTCCTTACATCTGATATATTATGTACATTTACCTGTCATTAAAAATAACTCATAAAAACATAATTTTTCTTGCTAGAGAATACTACATCATATAGATATACTATGATTTAGAAAAAACATTTCTCTGTTATTGTAAGGTAATCCTTTCCTTCTTTTTAACAATAGTACAAATGACATGGTAATGTAAACCTTTTATATATAATTCATCAGATTATTTCCTTTACATAGATTCTAAGACGTAAGATTTCTGAGTCAAATGGCATAAACATTTTAAAGGCTTTTGATATACAATGCCAAACTGTTTTCTGGAAAGAATGCTGCCAAAGTATTCAGGGGAAATTTAATTCACTAAAAAGCACTTATTAGAAAACAAGAAAGGCTAAAACAAATAAGCTCTAATCATGCAACCCAAGAAGTTAGAAAAACTAATAAACCTAAAAGATGTAGAAGGATATAATAAAGATTAAAAAATTAATAAAGTAGAAAATAGTATATAGAAAGAAGCACAAGGTGTCTTGATTATGGAAAACATAAACAAACCCATACTTAGATACATTTAGTGAAATGGCAGGGCACTTTCTGCTTTTGAGGATTTTGCAAAACCTCTTTAAAGATAAAGAGGCAATCTTAAAAGCAACCAGAGAAGAAGACAGATTGTGTCAAAGGGAACAATAATTAGGCTAATAACAGACTTTTCAAGAGCAGCTTTAGAGGCTAAGGAATTATTGAGGAAAAATAAGTGTTAATTTAGAATTCTATACCCAGCTATGTTATAATTCAAGAGGTAAGGGAGAAATAAAGAAATAAAAAATGTACTAATCTCAGACACACTTGCTGAAAAACTACTGAGGAATTCATTAATTTTATTTATATAAGAACCACTTGTATAAGGCTTAGTGTGTGTCAGGCACTATTTTAATCATTCCACAAATATTCATTTGATCCTTATAATAGTCCCATGAAGTAAATACTATTACCATCTCTATTTTACATATGTAGAAACTGAGGTACAAAGAAATTAAATAATCTGCACAAGGTCACATAGCTAGAGATCAAGAGAGTCGGATATCAAACCCAGGCAGTCTAGCTCCAGAGATGGTGCTATTAACTACTACATAAGCTGCCTCTCCTCTGGGAAGCCAAAGAAATTGAACTCAGAATGAAAGTGGAAATGCAAGAACCAGTGGTAAGAAACTGGCAAATGTGCAGGTTCATCCAAACTTGCACTGGCTATTTATAACATTAATAATAATGACAGATTTCAAGTTGTGTTAAAAACATGATGAAATTAAAACTGTATGCAACAATAACACGGCACACAGAAGAAGGAGAAACAGAGTTAGTGATCTACTCTAGATTGTTAAGGAGGGCATAATATAGTCTCTGGTAAATTATGCATGTGAACATAAATCAAAAAGAAAATTCAGGGGGCTGGCCAGTTAGCTTGGTTGGTTAGAGGGTGGTGCTGGTAACACCAAGGTCAAGGGTTCAGATCCCAGAATCGACCAACTGTGCACTGCCCCCCCCACCAAAAAAAAAAAAAGAGAGAGAGAAAATTTAACTAATAATCCTGTAGGAAAACTAAAGGGAGAATAAAGAAAACATTATCCAGTAGAAGAAATGAAAGGAGAGATAATGAATGAACAAAGGAAAGAAAAACCTCAAAATCCCAAGATATTTTGTTCAAAGAATTTGACAAGCTGATCTTACAATTATCTGACAGAATAAAGGGCTTTTAATAGCCAAGACCATTTCTATAAAGCTACAATAGTAAAAAGAGTGTTACTGGCACAGAATTAAAAAGAATATCTATCTGATAGCTTACAAAATGACAGAAGTTAAAAATCAATGAACTAGTTCTAAAGCATCAGCATAAAAAATTCTCAAAAATGTAACGTTCAGTCAGTAAAGCAAATTGCAAAGGATAATATATAATAGGATATAACTGATGTAAAAATTTAAAACACTATGGACATATAGGTAATAAAAATACCAACGTATAAAAAGGAATAATACACAGTAACTTAAGCATAATGGTTACTCTGAGCAGAGTTGATAGAAAAGACAGGTACAAGGCTTTAGCTGTATCTGTTGTTTTATTCCTTAACAAAAAAGATCTGAAGCTAATATGGCAAAAATTTTAACTCCCACTTAATCTCAACAGTGCGAACATAGTTGTTTGTTGTATTTCCTGAACTTTTCTGTATGTCTGAAATATTTTATAGTTAAAATATTTTTTACAACCTAAAAACAGAGAAAGAAAAGAGAAAAGGAAGAGACAGAGAGAGAAAACAAAAAGGAAGACAAAACCTGAGAGCTGTTGTGCAAATTATATTAATGCCTCCACTCTATCTGAGTGCCTCCCCTGTGCCAGTTGGCATTATACTTCCTGGTGATACCAATCCTCTTCCCCAACTTGGGCCAAAGGTCCCTGGACAGCTTAATTGGCACAGTCCTCCTAAAGAGCCCAACAGCTTTCAGACTTGCTTTCCTCTCTTCTAACCCCATTTCTTAGACCCTGCTCCAGCCCCTTTCTTTCCTTTTTTTTTTTTTATTTTTAAAAAAGATGACCAGTAAGGGGATCTTATTGGCACAGTCCTCCTAAAGAGCCCAACAGCTTTCAGACTTGCTTTCCTCTCTTCTAACCCCATTTCTTAGACCCTGCTCAAGCCCCTTTCTTTCCTTTTTTTTTTTTTATTTTTAAAAAAGATGACCAGTAAGGGGATCTTAACCCTTGACTTGATGTTGTCAGCACCACGGTCTCCCAACTGAGCCAACCAGCCATCCCTATATGGGATCTGAACCTGTGGCTTTGGTGTTATCAGCACCACACTCTCCCAAGTGAGCCACGGGCCGGACCCCCAGCCCCTTTCTTTAGCTATAGCTTATGTAGACAGCTATCTTGAAGATGCCTTACCTGGTGATTTCTACAAACTATGGTGAGAAGTATCCAGCAGCCTGATGATATGATGGACAAGGAGATACCAGATGAGAGCCACGAGGCTCTCAGCCTGAAAGGGCACCTTGCCAGGTAAGGGTTGTCTTTCCCAGAAGACCTTGTTAGTCACTGGTCCTGGATAACTCATTTGTTGAGTCCAACATACGTCTTTTTGAGATGAAATATAAAACAAAATACCTACTACTACCAGATCTTGGTTGAGTCCACCTTATGTGAAGGTGGTCAGTCTAGGAGCCTAGCACATAATTTCATGTAGAACATTCACAGGATTTTCTTCCTGAATGATAATTAGGTACATCTTTTAATGTATAAGTTTTGACTAAAATACTTTTATAATTTGACACGGTTTTGGGGGCTGTGGATGGTCTTGTGTCAAAGATATGTATTTTTATATTTACTACTCTGATTTAATCATCTGAATATTTATCTCTGATTAAGTACATTACTACATTCATCAGGTTAACAGGACTTCTCTCCTGTAGGGACCAACTCATGATGAAGCCCGTGATCTGACTGAAATCTGTACCACACAACATATTTTTAAAAAGATTTCAAAGTGTGGACTCTGATGCCCTTACCACACAATATCTCATGAATAGGGGGTTCTCCCACACATGGATTCTCATTTAACAAATATTTACTGAGTGGCTACTCTGTGCCAGACACTGTGTTAGCAGCGGGGACACAATGGTGGGCAAAGCACACGCAGCTGCACTCTGATGGAGCTCACAGTCTCGTGGGAGACACAGGCCCTATGATAAAGGGAGAGCCATGTGCTCTAGAAGTTCTTACCACACCCTCCACACTTGCAGGGTTTTTCTCCCACATGGAATCAAATGGATGTGAAGACATAAGCTCACTTCTCAGGCTTTCTACCCTGTGTGGACTCTCTGATGAACATGAAGTTTCTTGCAACTGAAGCCTTTACCACAGGTATGGCATTTAATGGTTTTTCTCCTGTGTGAATTCTTTGATAGACTTGAAGAAGCTGTGCTCTGACTGAAGCCCTCATCACACACGTCACACTGCAGAATTTCTCTCCAGTTTCACTCTCTGGTAAATGTGAAGATAAGAGCTTGCTGGTAGTCCTTACGGCACTCTTCACACTTAACAGTTTCTTTCCAGTGTGGACTCCCTGAGGATCACTAAGGTTTGTGTTTTAAGAGGGTCACATTTAAACAGTTTCTCTCGTGTGGACTCTCCGATGCACATGGAGATCTATGCTCTGAGTGAAACCCTTACCACACTTACTACATCTGATGAGTTTCTCTCTAGTGTGGACTCTCTGATGAATGCGAAGACTGGAACTCTGGTGGAAGTCCTTGCCACACTCCTCACACTTAAAAGGTTTCTCTCCTGTGTGGACTCTCTGATGAACGCGAAGATTGGTGTTGCAACTGAAGCCTCTGCCCCTTTTGTCACATACGAAAGGTTTCTCACCTGTGTGAATTCTCTCATGATAGCGAAGATCTGTGCTCCGACTAAAGCTCTTACCACACTCAGCACAGTCGTAGAGTTTCTTTCCTATGTGGAAAGATGGGGAGCTTTGAGAATGGGAGAATGTTTCCAAAGACAAAAAGTGACTGTCAAATTAAAAATCTTAATGGAGGCTTCCAGCAATAGAATATCAGATTGGAGAATACAGAAAATTATGTGAGTCAATTAAAAGGTTAACTTGAAGAATTCTAGCAGGACTCAGAAAAAAGCGATTTAAAAAGTGAAATTATGAGAAAAATATTAAGTCATGAAGAATAGATCTAGAAATCTTATATATATATATAAAGATATATATAAAAGATCCAGAAGGAAAGAACAAGCAGAGAAGAAATAATGAAAATGTACTTAATATGAAAGAGAATTTGATTCTTTATTTTTTTAAAAAAGATGACTGGTAAGGGGATCTTAACTCTTGACTTGGTGTTGTCAGCACCATGCTCTCCCAAGTGAGCTAACCGGCAATCCCTATATAGGGATCCGAACCCGTGGCCTTGGTGTTATCAGCACCACACTCTCCCGAGTGAGCCACGGGCTGGCCTTTGATTCTTTAGATTGAAAGTATTCCCCCAGTACCATGTAGGAGTCTCGTACACATATCTGGATGACGTTTCTGAATTTTAAGGAACAAGAAAACATCTCATAAGCTTACAAAACATTAAAAAACAAAAAACAAAACAAGGTTACTTCCTTGAAAAAAGAATAAGATAGGCACTGTTTCTCTACCACATCAAAAGAGGGACGACAATGCTATAACGCCTCTAAGGGTCCTGAGGGAAAAAGACTATGAGTCCAGGATCTCAAACCTAAACTGATGATTCCCCTATAAGGGCAAAAGGAAGATATAAAAAAAGCAAACAAGTATGTCAGACAAATTCGAAATTAGTCAAAATAAAAACTCATGGAAAGGGAAAACATAGAATATAAGAAATAGAAAAAATGAAATCAGTAAATAAAGCTTTCCCTTCTTTTCTCCCAACAAAATCTCATGAAATGCCAACAGAAAACTTCCTTGAGGTGAAGGATTAGAAAGTGAACAGGCTCAATGACTGGCAAACACAATTACTGAAAAAAAAATTGCATTTAGACTCATCCTGGTAAAATTTCAAAACTCCAAGGATAAACAAAAAAAAAAAAAAAGAAAGGAGAAATAGACTTCTAAATGTTTTCAGAAGGGAGGGAAAATAAAAACAGGTTAAACAAAAACAAGAGAGAGAATAAATAAATGAATGAATCAGATTAGAATCAATAATATTAGAAGCTTTAAAACAAAGATACAATGGCTAAAATATGTGGAGGGTACCAACACTAAGAAAACAAATGTATTTCACAGGGCCCAACTTTTTAGAATTGCACAGAGAAATGTTAAGCCTGGGAAAGACAGAAAACTTTCCCAGGCTTAAGTCTCTGTTGTAGATAAAAAAAAAACTGTAACACAGCAAAAATGCTGGCTCTAAGGGCAGATGTCCTTGGTGCAGCTAAACCTAATGGTTGTTGCCACGACGAATATCTTACTGTTCTTTTTGTAACCACCTATGTTCCTTTTCTCTAACTTTCTTGCCTGGAAAATAAAAACGGAGGGGGAACCTGATTCAGGGTATTTCCAGGATCCTTCTGCCCTTGAAAGAATTATTCCTGGAATTAACCCTTTCGGTCCTCTCACTGCTCAGGAGAAATGGGCTTTGAGTAATCCTTTGAGTCTCTGTTACCCTGGGAGAGGTGACAAAAATACCCTCAGGGTAAATGATTTTTAATCTAAAGCTCTCTACTCAGCCAAACTAGCATTCAAGAATGAAGTGAACAGAAAGACCTTTTCAAACATGCAGGGACTCAGAAAATTTATTTGCAAATGAAAAAGAAATCCAAGCTAAAGGCAGATGTGGGATATAAAAAATTATGGAAAGCAAGCGCTCCCGTAAAATTTAAGGCTAATTTAATCTCTGAGAAAACAGATGTACAATGAAAAAAAGTTAATAACTATTATAAATGGTTTCAACATAACACAGGACATGGGCAGAGGAGGGTGTATGTGCCTGTCAAGGTTAAGTAAAAGCATGTTAATGGCCTTGTCTTGTTCTGGCAAATGGGAAGTTATAAATACCAATTAATTCTTGCCACCAATTGAAAAATATGACTTTCGAAATTTATAATTTTAGGGGTAACTAATTGAAGGATAAAAATAAGAGGTAGAATTTTCAAATAAGAATGGGGAAAAAAGGAAAGAAACAAGAAATCATTTGGAATTCCCAAATAATAAAGGAGAGAGGGATTAAACAGAATGCATAAAATAAAATGTCAAGAATCAGACCAAATATATCAATTATCACAGTAAATGTGAATTGGCTAAATTCCTCTTAGAGTCACTAAGACTTGGTTATAAAACCCAGCTAAAAGAAAGCAAATGAACATCAATATCCAACAAAGCAGAATTCAAGGCCAAAATACACTAAACAGGACAAAAAGTATAATCCACCAGTAGAACATAACAATCGTAAAGAAATTGTTAAATCCAAAATCACTGGGTAAGTCTTTTAAAAACCCGAAACATAGGGCCGGCCCTTGGCTCACTTGGGAGAGTGTGGTGCTGATATCACAAGGCCACGTATTCGGATCCCTATATAGGGATGGCCAGTTAGCTCACTTGAGAGAGTGTGGTGCTGACAGCACCAAGTCAAGGGCTAAGATCCCCTTACAGTCATCTTTAAAAAAACAAACAAACAAACAAAAAGCTCATGCAGAAATTTGTATTATCTCTCAATTCTATTTTTCCACAAACTTTTTGAAGTACCCTCATATATAAATCTCTGATCCATCCATTCCTCTTCTAGAAATTTATCCTATAAAAATACTGAAACATGTACTCAATAATACAAGTACAAGGATATATCACATTATCTATAATAGAGAAAAATTGGTTATTGATATATCAATAAAGTACTAGTTAAAAAAAATTTCCATACATCAACACGATGCATATGATTAAAAAGATTGAGATGGGTCTAAATATTTTGACATGTAAAGATATCCAACATATATTGTTAACTGAAAGGGAAGTTGCAGAACTCATTTTTGTAAAATAAACAAACAGTTAAATATACACAATAGATAAAAAAATATATATGTGTAAGCTTACATATTTTCTTCCTGCTTATTATGTAAATATAAATAGAAAATAGGGCTGGCTGGTTAGCTCACTTGGTTAGAGTAGCTTGTAATACCAAGGTTAAGGGTTCAAATCGCCATACTGGCCAGCTGCCAAAAAAAAAAAAAAAAAAACCAGAGAATAGTCCAAAAGATATTTTTTACCTCATGTGTAATATACTTTGTTTTAATATTTTTCTAATTAAAAAATAATCACAGGGAGGGGGAAGTGAGAAGTGGCTACTTAATGGGTGTGGAGGTTTTCTTTTGGGGTGATAAAAAGTTTTAGAACTTGCTAGAGATAGAGGTTGCATAATATTGTGGATGGACTAAATCTCACTGAATTGTACACTTCTAAATAGTTAATTCTATGTTATGTGAATTTCACCTCAAAAAAAAAAAAAAAAAGAAAGAAATATAAATGGGGGAATAGAAACTCAGGTTTTTCCTTATGTAGCAACATTTTTCTTTCTTCAATAGTGATTTGGAAACTTTGATATTTGAGTTTCAAGCCCTAGTTTAAACATTTGAAGAGCTCACAGCTTTTAACAACAAAGGAAACCAAAATTCTCCAAAGAGTAGTTGTCCTCACCCACTAAGACCAGGTTGCCGTAGATCTCCAGCATCACCTCTCTGTACAGGGCCCTTTGTGCGGGGCCTAGTTGTCCCCACTCCTCCTCGGTGAAGTCCATGGCCACATCCTTGAATGTAACAGGTTCCTAAAATACCAATGAACAGGAATTCCTCTTCAGTAAGCAAGCATCTACACCAGCGTATGTGGTACAAAGGGTGAACCTGGCAACACTCAGAAAGGTAGATAATAATAACAGGTACTTCAGAGTTCTGCACCAAACCATAAGAATAATTAATAGAATAATAAAAAATTTCAAAAGATACATATAGCTTATGCAGAGGCTCACTAATGCTAATAATAATCTGAAGAGCTCTTACAACTCAATAAGAAAAACATAAAATGCTCCAGTTAAAAATAGACAAATGAAAAATGACCTGAATAAGTAATTCCTAGAAGAAAAATGAATGGCCAATAAACACAGGAAAAGATATGCTGTCTCACAAATTGTCAAAGAAATGGACACTCAGATAACAATGAGACATTATTTCCCCCTATCTAGTGGGCAAAGATTAAGACTTATGATACTCATTATTAGAGAGGGTGTGAGGAAATAGGCACGCCCACATACTGTATTGCTGGAAGGAGTATAAACTGATACAAACTTTTTTGTAAAGTATTTGACAGTATTTATCAAACATCTTTTGATCCAGCAGTTCCAATTCTAGAAATTCATCTTCATTATAATAACTAATATACTACCTTGCTGATAAATCCAATGGGAAGTTTTCCATCCTTTTTATACTTGATTTCTTTACATTATTTGGCCCTGTTGACTACATGGTCTTCCTCAAAACTCTCTCCTTCCGGGGTGTGGATACCATAGTAACCTGGTTTTTCTCCTACCTCTCTAATCACTCTCTCTCAATCTCCTTCTTTATTCATCAATGTTGGGGCTCCCCAGGTTGGATCCTAGGCCTTCTTCTCACTCACCCTATGTGATCTTGTCTATTCTGATTGCTTCAAATGCCTTCTGAATGCTGACAACTCTCAAATGTACACTGGCAGCCAAGACCTAGAGTTACAGACCCAACTGCCTACAAAATGAATATCTAGTGTAAAACACAGTGTCTGATTCATAGCAGCTAATCAATAAATATCTACCAAATGAAATAAATGAAATCTACTGTGTCTATTTGGATGTCTCAAAGGCATCTAAATCAACATGCTCAATTCTGACCTCATCTCTCTTTCTAAACCTGCTTCTCTCAATGTTTAGGAAATGTTGAGGGAATCAATGTTCAGGAAATCATACCTACACCTACCCAGATGTTCAAGTCAGGGAAATAGGAGTCATTTTGACTTCTTTCTCTCCCTTGTCCCTCAAATCTGATCCATCACCAAATCTTTGCAAATATCTTTTATCTCCACTGCCACCACTTTATTCTGAGCCACATGACCATCTTGCCTTCTTGCAATATAACCTCTACTTTGGCTCCTCTTTTTGTACCCATTTCTTAAATATTTGTGTTCCTCACGGCTCTTCTCTGGTTATCTTCTTTTCTCTTCTCACACATCAAAGTCCATGGCTTTAACAGCCATATATATATGGTTACAACTCATACATTTGTATCTTTACCCTGGATCTCTCTCAGACTTTGATATTTAACTGCCTTTTAGATTTAATTGGATGTCTCACAGGCACTTCAAACTGTCTTCCAGCTCCACACAACGCCTCCATCTCCTCTGTTCCTTATTTCAGCAGAGTATCAGCATTCATCCTGCTATTCAAAACTCATGCATCAGCCTCAACTACTCTCTTTTCCTCACTCCCGACAACTACACAGACCCATAGTGTTATATGTATATTTGGAAATGTTTATATTCTTTATACACTTATCTATACAGTCAGGTTCCATCCCATTTCATTTCAAATTTTATTTCCAAAGTTAAGCTCACTGAATGCTACCTAATTAGGCAGGCTGATACCTTTATTATCAAACAAATTCAAGGATTCCTTGGTCTATTCTTTTTGGTCATCCAGCACCTCTTAACTCCCTCCTTATATCTAGGGAATTCTTCACATTATGAATCTGTGCTTCTGAGTGTTCCTTGTAGCTCAGGTCGGCCAATCAAATGAACTTGTGCAAGTTTTTAATTTGGAAGCTAGTGGCTGGAAATCATAAGGATGTCTGGAAATCATAAGGATGGCAGCAGACACATCCAGCTTGCTGAAGCAGTAGGAGCAAATGTTCTAGGGATGGCGTCTGGTACCCTGGGTCAGCTGTGCAAACTGTGGTGTCTGTGTCAGCAACAGTGGTCTCTCCCCTGGAGAGACTCTCCTATATTGCCAGTGGGAGTGCATATTGGTAGAGCCATTGTGGAAAACAGTATGGAGGTTCCTCAGAGAACTTAAAATACATCTATCCTTCAACTGAGCTACCTCACTAGTACGTATATACCCAAAGGAAATGAAATCAATATATCAAAAAGACACCTGCACTCCCATGTTCATCACAGCACTATTCACAATAGCTAAGAGATGGAATCAACCTATAAGTCCATCAACGGACGAATGGATAAAAAAACTGTGTTATATATACACAACGGAATACTATTCGGCTATTAAAAAAAATGATATCCTGGGCCGGCCAGGTGGCGCACTGCTATGGTGCGCCACTTGGGAAGCGCGGCGGCGCTCCCACCGAGGGTTCGGATCCCACATACAGACCGGTTCCCGCTCACTGGCTGAGCGAGGCGCGGGAGCAACGCCGAGGGTTGCGATCCCGTTGATGGTCCCGGTCCGGTACGGGGGCGACACTGAGGGTTGCGATCCGTTGCCGGACACGGAAAAAGACAAAAAGGAAAAAAAAAAAAATGATATCCTATCGCAGCAACCGGAAACCATCATGTTAAGTGAAGTAAGTCAGGCACAAAAAGAGAAATACTGCATAATATCATTCATATGTGGAATCTAAAAAAACATAAAAGTGGTTCTCATAGAAGTAGAGAGTAGAGTAATGGTTACCAGAAGTGAGGAGGGGAGGTACAGAGAGAGGAAAAATGGTGGACTAATGGGCACAAACTATGCTATCTACCCTAAGTGAATCATTGTGCAGCATATGCACATATTGAAACAATGCACTGTACTCCACAAATACATACAAATAAATGTTCAAGAATTTTGAATAATAATTAAAAAAATTTTTTTAAATAAATAAATTCCTTTCAGCTAGAGTTGAGTTTTGGTTGTTCACACCTAAGAATCTAGACTGACATAGTTGGCATTAGAAAATGTTATTACATATGTAATCATAACAAGTGAAAGAGGAAAATGCATATGACCATCTCACAGGATGGCCAAACAGCATTTAATAAAATAAATCAACTTTTAATCTAAAACACTTTTAAGAGACATTGCTCTAGGTACCTGGGATACATTGGTAAAGTAGAAAGACAAAATATAAACCCAAATGAGAATAACAGATATCAATATGCAATAGTTATTTTTAAACAATAACCATTTGTGTTGCTTAGGTGTTCAGAACCCTTCTGATGGATCATATTGACAGTTTTTTGAATAAAGTTTTCATTTGATCAGGAAGATATCATTCCTATTTTCAAGGAAATTTGTAGATTCTTAGACTATCTTATAGACTAACTTCCAAGTACAAACATAGCTGCATTCATACCTCAATAGAGCAACAGCGTATTAAAATGCCCTTGATAAGAAATGGTAGTTTTGGCAATACATAGGCAGCTGTTCAATAAACTGAAAATTATTTTATGGGATTATGGAAAAGCCAATGCCTTTCTTCCCAATTACTGCACTATAAAACTTCTAATATCAATAAGGATGTGACAGACCTTTCAGTGTGGTTATCTGTATTTATTCTTCTTTCTAAGTAGAAACATTACATTGCACTGCAAGAAAATTCTAAGAATGAAATGTGTTATCTTTTATAAAGCTTTGAAATAATTCACTAATGATTTTTCAGCCTTGAAATTTAAGCATCAGTATTAATATGCAGTCTATAATAATTGTAATTCTTGTTTTCTAAAACTATATATTATATGTGAATTTGGGGGGAGGGGAGTAACTGGACAGTAGATGGTCCAAATGCTTGACCTTGGTGTTACAACACCGCACTCTAACCAGCTGAGCTAACCAGCTAGCCCTATATGTGAGTTAAAGGAACACTTAAAATATATGTTCTGGAGGGCCGGCCCGGTGGCGCACTGCTACAGTGCGCCGCTTGGGAGCGTGGTGGCGCTCCCGCCAAGGGTTCGTTCCCGCTGAGGGTTCGGATCCCACATACAGACCGGCCGCTCACTGGCTGAGCAAGGTGCGGGTGCAACACCGAGGGCTGCGATCCGTTGCCGGTCACGAAAAAAAACAAAAAAAAAAGGAAAAAAAAAAAAATATATATATATATATATGTTCTGGATACCTTAATTTTGTTTGTCTTAATTTTGTTTCTCAGTCATCGCAATTCCTATATAAAACATTCATTGTAATACAGTGAATTATGTAAAACTGCTAAATCTAAAGATATACTGGGCCGACCCGGTGGCGCACTGGATAGTGCGCCGCTTGGGAAGCGCGGCGGCGCTCCCGTCGAGGGTTCGGATCCCACATACAGACCGGTATAAAGTGATGATAAAAGAATATTAAGTAAAAACAATATAATAAAATATTTTATAGGTTGGTCAGTTAATAACAACAATAATAGTAATATATTTTTTCTAAAAAAGATTTTATGGTATTTGTGGTATTTGTCACCTTTTTAAATTTCTTTTTTTTTTTTCCTTTTGTCTTTTTCCGTGTCCGGCAATGGATCGCAACCCTCAGTGTCGCGCCCGTACCGGACCGGGACCGGCAACGGGATCGCAACCCTCGGTGTCGCTCCCGCACCTCGCTCAGCCAGTGAGCGGGAACCAGTCTGCATGTGGGATCCGAACCTTCGGCGGGAGCGCCACCGTGCTCCCAAGCGGCGCACTACAGCAGTGCGCCACCGGGCCGGCCCATAGTAGCCATTTTCAATTCTTAGTTATGAGAAGCTTTTGGGAACTGGCTGTAAACATAAAAACATTCAAAAGCCTGGACAGTTAGCTCGGTTGGTTAGAGCGCGGTGTTATAACACCAAAGCCAAGAGTTCAGATCCCTGTACCAGCCAGCCACCAAAAAAAAAAAAAAAAAGAAAAGAAGATTCAAGTCAGTCTTGAAAACAGGGAGATTGTTAATATATTTTGACTTGGTCTTGAATATAAGGAGATTGACAATATTTTGTTAAGGAATTTTCTTTAAAAATTTACTCAGTTATGCACATAAAATTGGCTTTGTCCTTAGTTAATAATGAATAATCAATTGGTTACCTTGTTATTTCATAAAAGTTATTCCTTAAGAAAACAGAAACTTATAAATGCCTAACGCCACAGTTTCTAATGCCCAACCCTAGGATTTATTTTAACTATGAGAGAAACAAGATCAAGGGCACATACGGCTTTACCACGACAAATAATGGTGAAAAATCACTTGCAGTGTTGAAATGTCCCATATGTATAATGATCCTACATACATTATGTGTGAATAGTACAGGCACACATAAATTAATTGCTCATATCAATGAAACCTCTAAGCCTATAATCTAGCTATTAGTCTGTTTCTTTGCTTATAACAAAATACATGGAACTGGCTATTTTATAAAGAAAATGAAATTTGTTGCTTACAGTTTCTGAGGCTGGGAAGTCCAAAGTCCAGGGAACACATCTGGTGAGGGTCTTGGTGATGGTGACAGTGATCCAGGGGACTCATATGGCAGAAAATGGCAGAGCAGAGAGATAGACAGCTCCTCCCATACTCTCTTTTTAAAGCCCTCAGAACTGTGCCCATGACCACCATTTTTAATCCATTCATTAGGCATGGTCCTCAGAATCGAATCACCTCTTCAAGGCCCCACCTTGCAATTACCATAATAGGATTTCCCACCCTCAACAGTTACAGTGGGGATTAAGCCTCTGTGATGCTGGGGGGGAGCCTCCAATCTTCAGCATTCCACCGCTGACTCCCCAAACTCGTGTCCTTTTCACATACAAATACATTCATTTGGTCCCCAAAGTCTTAACTTGTTTCAACTCAAAAGTCCAAAATTCAAAGTCCCATCTGTGAATTCAAAACAAGTTATCTACTTCCAAGATTCAATGGTGGGACAAGCATAGGGTACATATTCCCATCCAAAAAGGGAGCAATAAGCCAAAAGAAAGGGGTAACAGGTTCTAAGCAAGTCTGAAACACAGCAGGGCAGGAATTGAATCTTAAAGTTGGCAAATCTTGTACTTTAACTCCATGTTTGATGTCCTCTGCAAGCTGGTGTGAGGGTTGGGTACCCAAGTCTTCAGGCAGTTCCACTCCTGTGGCTTTACTGGTCTTTGGCCATGCTTTAGCTCCTGTAGGCTGGCATTGCACACTGGTAGCTCCACAATTCTGGGGTCTTCATGGCGGTCCCACTGTCACAGCTCCACTAGTCATGATGCTCATGGGGTTCCTCTGCTGCAACTCCAACCCCATGTTTCTGCTCAGTATTGCTCTTGGAAAGGTTGTCTGTGGTGAATCTGCCCCTGCAACAGATCTCTTCCTAGGCCCCCAGACTTTTCCATACATCCAGTAAAATTGGGGTGGAGGCTCCCAAGCCTTCGCAGCTCTGGTATTCTGTGAGCTTGCAGACCTAACACTGTATGGATGCCACTGAGGCTTCCAGCTTTATCTTCCAAAGCCGCAGGTCGAGCCACACCTGGGCCAATTTAGCCATGGCTGGAGCAGCCAAAGCAGGGGGTGCTGATGCTGGAAGCAGCTTCCTGAGGTGGTGCTAGACAGCCAGCCCATGGAGGGCACCTCAGGCCTGTTCCCCAAGACCATTCTGTCTCCCTAGGCCTTTGGGCCTGAAATGGAAGGGTTGGTGCCAGAGACTTCTGCAATGCCTTCAGGGCCTTTTCCTCTTTCTCTTGATAATCTTTCTTTTATACTAATCTTAGCACCATTGAATTTTTCTTCTGAAAATGCTCTCTGCTTCCCTACCAAATGGCCAGGCTGCAAATTTTCCAAATCTTTACACTCTGCTTCCCTTTCAAATTCTGGCTTTATGTTGTGTCTTTGATACGTAATAGCCATAACTCAATGCAGGCTGTTACAAGTAGCCATGCAGCTTCCAGAATGCTTCTTCCAGAAGGGACAGAATTAAAATGCCAGAAAACAATAGCTTTGTGAGTCAAAAGGGGGTATGATCAGTAGTAAAAGTTTTAAAGTCCTTGCATTATTCTGAAGAGGGTTAATCTATTATTTAAAACGACTTAAACTACCTATTTTGTAGAAAAATATGCACAGTAAGGGCCAGCCCATGCCTCACTTAGGACAGTGTGGTGCTGATAACACCAAGACCATGGGTTTGGATCCCTCTGTAGGGATGGCCAGTTTGCTCACTTGGGAGAGTGTGGTGCTGACAATACCAAGTCAAGGGTTAAGATCCCCTCACCAGTCATCTTAAAAAAAATATATATCCATGGTAAAATTTCAAAGATAACCACCAAAGGAATAAATATAGGTTATAAATTTCAAACAAGTAGAAAGGGGAAAAAATTCTCACTGTTTTAAATAAAAAATAATAATAAAGATAAGAAAGGGGGGGGACAGAAAAAATGGACAAATAAAATTAAAACGTAATATAGTAGAAACACATCAAATATACCAATAACTATATTAAATGCAAATGGACTAAATTTGCCAATTAAAAAGGCAGAGATTATCAGATTTGGTGGGAAGCAGGGTGGATGCAGCTAAAAACTGTTAAAAAGAGATACACCTAAAGCATAAGGTCATGAAAAGGTTAAAAATAAAAGTATGGAAAAAGATAAACCAGGCAAATAATAACCAAAAGAATGCTGGAATAGCTATATTAATATGATACAAAATAGATTTCTAGAAAAAAATCATTAGCAATCTACAAGGTCACTACATAGGGATAAAAAGTTCAATTCTCCATGAAGATATAACAATTCTAAACTTGTATACACCTCACAAAACATCCTTAAATTACATAAAGAAAAACCTGGAAGGACTAAAGAAAAAAAATTGACATATCTACCACTCAAAGAGATTCCACACATCTTCTTCTCAGTTATTAATGGGTCAAGCAAACAAAAATAACCCAGTAAAGCTACAGATATTTTGACAAGTCAGGTCTTATGCACACATACAGAAGTTGGCACCCATTGTTAGAGAACACACATTCTACTCAAGCACAGATGAAACATTATGAAAACTGATCAATTGTAGACCATAAAGCAATTATCAACAAAAAAAGTAAAGACTTGAAGGAGGTATGGAAGTTAACCATATATTCACATCTTCTTTAAGAAATAAAAGCTCACTTCCTTCAGGAAGTCTTCCTTAATCATCCCAGTCCACATTAACACTGATACCACTGACTGTACTCCTCAAACTGGCAAGTAAGTATGGCTTCCTTACATTTTATTTAACGTATATACAGGTAGTAATCAGTATTTTATACATGTATACATTATCTCCCCCAAAGAAACCACACGCTCTGAAGTAAGAACTGCACCCAATTCTACTTGTTTTGCTCTTACAAATCAGCACAGAGTAGCCATGACTAAGTGGATCAATGAACAAGAAACATGTTAGGTAGAGAAGAGATCAAACCTAAAAAAGGCCACCAGGCAAGAAGACAGCATTCCCCTTGGAGTCCTTCATTTCACAGATTCGGTCCGGTCCTCTAGATGTGGACAACTGAAACTCAGTCCCTGGATGGGAAGACTTGTCCATTAATGACATGAACAGCAGAGGCAACAGACCCAGAAATGAATCCTGGCTCCACCATTTAATAGCTTGGTTGAACTTGACAAGTTTCTTAACCTTACTTAGCTGGTTGCTACATGTAAAATGTGAATAATATCCACTTTTCACAGCTGTTGTATTAAAAAAAAAAGTCAATGTAAAGTGTGTCTAGCATGCAGTAAGTGCTCCATAAATATTGGTTTCCTTCTTTCCTACGGAAGAGAAAACTTATCTTTTTTCTTAAGAGTAGATACATTCTAGACTGAGAAAGGAGAACTGCATCTCACCTGGGAATTAGTCATCTCTTCTTCCTCCTGGGCAAGGTCAGGGTGTTAAAGAGGCAGAGCTGGAGGAGAAAGCAGCCATGAGAGACCAGTCCAGACTTTACAGCTCCGAGGGTAGCCAGCTGGGACAATTCTTTCTGCCTTGCCTGAATCCTTCCCTCAACCACCCTGCCTATGGTGTCTTCTCTTCTCCAGACTACAGACTGTTCACCACCTTAGGCAAGTCTCCTTTCTGTTCTAAGTCAAAATTTCTGTCCCTCTCTATTCTCTGAAAAGTGGCCACGTGACACAGGCCTTACTTAAGTAACCTCTGCAGCCCCAGCAGCTGCAGAATCCCTTCCTCCTCCAGACTCTTTTTGGCTCGGTAGCTTTGGCAGGAGGCCTAAGGTCACAGGTAAGACCTCTGAAGATGGGATCTAGCTGCCTGCGAGCTGCGACCGTCAGTAAAAGCATGGCTTCTTCCTGTGCGCTTAGGAGCAGCTTTTCCTTGGCTAGCGTCTTTCTCCTGAGCCCCCAAACTCTGTCCCCCCAGCAGGAATCACACAGTCGGAAAGCCAGAGGGGCTCAAAGTTCCAGTAAGCACCTCCTAGGACACATACCGGGAAGAACTCAGACTAGGAACCTCCGGACTCAGGAACTGCAAAAGCAGGCGACTAAACCCTTGAAGGAGAAACCTGAGACACCAAAGGGTGGAAGCACCCCGCACACAATGCTCTGTGAGGGGAAATCACGCGGCTGACCCGCACCGCTCTTACCCTGGGACTGTGGCCCCGACCTGGGGCCCTCACAGCCCGGAGCAGCCGGCACAGCTGCAGAGCCAAGGTTGGAGTAGAAGGAGAAAGGGATCCTGGAGCCGCTTGGGCTGCAGATTCTACTAATGCTCCTGTCTGAGGAGAACACAGCTGGCTGAAGTGACTGCTTTACAGAACCCGGAAGGATTCAGTCCTCCAAAGTAAAGTGGTGGGCGCCGCACTGTTATGGAGACCCAAGGCGTCCCTCCAAGCCCTAGCGCGGCTGCGTGTAGCGCCGCGGGGAGCCGACCACGATCACCTCGGGGTAAACCGGGCTCCGAGCGCTTCCGCCCCCGCCCCGCGCCTGCGTGGAGCGCTCGCGGCGCCTCCTATAAGCCCCCGGGCGCGCCGTCTCTGCGCTCCTCTCCGCCCCCCGCCCCCGGCCTCACTCCGTGGCGCGCGGAAATTCCTCTTTCAGCCTTGCCGGAGAGAACTCACTTTCCAACTTTCGTTCCTAGCTAGAATCCTACAATGGAGTGCTGAAGGCCTCCTCTCCTTCAGATGCAGAGGCTCACGCCGCACCTGGGCTCCTAGTGGGGCGGGGCTGAGCCCGCGCCTTGACGCCTCCTCCCGTCGCTCTCGGTGTTTGGTTGGGGACTAAGAGGAGGGGAGGAGCAAGTGTCTCCGGCTTGACCATTGGTCCTCTCTGGATTGTCACCGCACCGGCTCTCATTGACCTGCAAGGGCACCTCTGGCAGGCGTTCAGAGGCAGGGTCGCCAGGGGCTGATATGTGAGACCCTCCTCCTGCACTGTGGTCTGATGGGGAGCTTTACCCCAGTGCGACCTCCTCCAGCCCTGTGGGTCCGCCCCCACCCAGACAGTGCACTTAACGTGCTGTCCGCTTGGCCGCCCCTCTGTCTGCCTTGCTGTTTCTATACAGGCTTCCAACTCCCTTCTTACAAGCAGCCCCACTGTCCCTGAGGGAATTTTGGGGGAGAGAAATGCCACGGCATTTTCCCCCAAGGCTGTTTCATGACTGCTGATTCCTATCCCCGCCCCCAACCAGTTGTCTACTTCTATGAGAGAGCTGGCGTTGGCAGAGCAGGTCTGGAAAGCTGGTTGAGGATAGACAAGCCGGTTTGGTCACGTTTTAATAAGTCCTTGAAGTGGAGAGGTTGTCTGGCCCAAAATTATTTGTGGCCCTTTTCACAGTGTGGGGTACTTGATGCCTCAGCTGTTGAACCTAGTTTCCATCCTGGGCCAAAAATCCCACTTAACTGCTACATGAATGTATCAAATTTAAAACTATTTTCCCACTGTTGACTCTGTAGCTGTGGTAGTCATTAGCCCTATTCATAAAATTTTGGGGTCCCTCATCCCAGCACATGATAGAATAGAATTGTAATTTTCCATTTCTAGCAGTGACCATGTGATTTGTTTGACCACAAAATATAAGCAGAAGTAATGTGTGCCACTTGCAAAAGGAATCTTTTTAGGGCCAATGCACAATGTGTCATGTTTCTTTTTCCTCTGCCTCAGAGATTATAACGTTCAGTGTGGCATGAAACCTCTAAAATGGCCTCCAATGATCCCTCCCTTTTGGTATTTAAGTCCTTGTGTAATCCCCTCCCCTTGGTTGTGGGCTGAAGTAATGACTCACTGCTAACAGATTATGGCAAATCTGATGGAATGTCACTTCTGTGATCAGGTTACAAAAAGATCCTAGTTTCCATCTTGCTTGCCCTTTCTTACCCTCTCTCCCTAACTCACTGTTGGGCAGGAATCTCAGATCCTTCTACCCCTTCCTGTGCAGGTCGTGAGTCAGGTAACTGAAAGAAGTTGTAATTGAAAGAAGATTTTGGCAGCTTTATGCAGGGTAGACATACTTTATTCTTCAAAGGTGAGCTTCGTGGACATGCTTTATTCCTTCAAGACAAGCTCAGGTTCTGCCCCCACTCTGCTGACCCTCCATGCTCTGCCGACCAGCAGTTCAGAGCAGTTAGCTTTATACTCTTAGTACACAACAGCAGCCACAAGCCAAGCATTACATAATTACAACAATCACGCTGAATCAGTAAATGGGCACACATGTGCACTTACACTACTTTTATGACTTGTTATAGTGAATGTGCTGAATCTTGCCCATTTTAACAAATAGGAGGCGAGTGAGCCTGATTAAGCTGTTCTAATTTAAACTGTTTTCATTTTCCCTATACTCAGTCTAAGAGAAGCCAGCTGCTTTGTTGCGAGCTGTTAGCGTGGCACACTGAGAGGTGAGTGTGGCAAAGAAATGATGTCTCCAGCCAGATAGGACCTTAAACCTAACAACAGCAACTTTAAATTTGGAAGTGGCTCTTCTGAGGTCTGCCAGGCACCATTAAATGAGCTTGGAAGCCTGTCCTTCCCCCAGTTGAGCCTTGGGGCAACTGTAGCCCCCACTGATGCCTTGATTGCAGTCTTGTCAAAGACCCTGAACTAGAGGATCCAGTCCAGATTCCTGACCCACAGAAACTGAGATAATAAATGTTTGTTGTTTTAGGCCACTAAGTTTTGAAGTAATTTGTTATGCAGTAATAGATAACAAATACATTCAAGATGCTTCCAGAGTGAAGCAACATGGAGCTGAGCCCCCAGCCTGTCCATCATGGGCAGGAAATAAACCTTTGTTGTCATAAGCCATTAAGTAGATTTTGGGGTTGGTCTTAGTCAATTGTCTTAGTCAATTCAGGCTGCTATAACAAAGTACCATAGACTGGGTGGGTTATAAACAACAGAAATTTATTTCTCACAGTTCTGGAGGCTGGAAATCTGAGATCTGAGTGGCAGCATGGTCAAGTTCTGGTGAGGGCCCTTTTCCAGGCTGCACACTGCTAACTTCTTGTTTTATTCTTGCATGATGCAAAGAGTAAGAGAGCTCTCTAGGATCTCTTTTGTAAGGGCATTAATCCCATTCATGGGGCCTCTACCCTCATGACTAAATCACCTCTCAAAGGCCCTGCCTCCCAATACCATCACATTGGGGGTTAGGATCTCAATATATGAATTGGGGGGCCACGTTAGTCCATAACAGTTGACTATTGTAGTAACATTTGCAAGTGTAAATAACACAGTGAGAAATATCTTTATACATAAATAATTTACCACATTTCTCATTATTTCCTTAGGGTATATTTTTAGAAATGGAATTGCTTTGTCAGATGGTATAAAGTTTCAAGACAATGCACATTGTCAAATTATGGTTCAAAAGCTTATGCCAATTTACATTTCCATCACCTAGGGAGAGTCTGATTCACCAAACCCTGACCAGTTTTTATTTGCCTTTCAATTATACCACATATATTGGTGTAAAGAAATGTCCATTTTCCTCTTCTAAATATCTTTTGTTTTTTATTTTTATTTTTTTTTATTTTTTATTTTTAAATTTTATTTTGTCGATATACAATGAGGTTGATTATTGTGGCCAATTACCGAAACCCCCCTTTCTCTATCGTTTTCCTATTTTCTATTTTATTTATCTCTACTTCGGTGTTTTTTTTTTTTTAATTTTATTTTGTCAATATACAATGAGGTTGATTATTGTGGCCCATTACCGAAACCCCCCTCCATCCTCCCTCTCCCCCTCCCACCCAACAATGTCCTTTCTGTTTGCTTGTCGTATCAACTTCAAGGAGTTGTAGTTGTTAAGTCTTCTTCCCCCCCACCCCCGGATTTTGTGTGTGTGTGTGTGAATTTATTTATTTATTTTTAGCTCCCACCCATAAGTGAGAACATG